GAGCATCCCTTGCTCTGTCCCCGTCCCGCCCCCTCTGCCCCTGTGTCTCATCCCTCGGCCCCTCACTCTCTCCCCTTTCCTCTTCCCTCCGTCCATCTGACTGTCGGTCCGTCCCTGCTGCCTCTTGCCCTTGGTTCTGGTGAGTGTCCGCTCCTTTGTGCTTCACTTGGTTATTCTGCCCCTGTTCTCTGCTGGTGTCCCTGCTCCCTGGGGAGAGCTTGCCCCTACCATCCCCCGTCCAACCCATCCCCCGTCCAACCCAACCCCTGCTCCTCCGAGGACTTGCACCCGATTTGCTCTGTCTGTCCACCCTGTCAGCATGATGGGAGGGGGAGGTGTGCGGGGGAATGTTGTGGTGCTCCCCACCCTGTCACTCCAGAGCAGGAATTGGGGAAATTGAGGCAAATGTGGCTGAACCAGAGAGATTCATTTATGTGGACGGGTTTGGGGTGGAGGACGGTGCCTTTCACTTTACTTGGCCTGAAGGCAGCCAGATACCACTTGAGCTCCACCCTCCCACCACTGCCTTTCTGGGATTTGCTCTGCAATCATGGGACCCTGGCCTCATCTCTGTCTCCATCATGTTCCTGCTTATTATCTGGACCTTCAACCTGTCCTCTCATGCTACTCCATGAACATATCCTCACATGTAGGGCTACAAAGATGATGATCCTACTGGAGGATCTCTCTTATGAGGAAAGGCTGAGAGACCTGGGTCTGTTTAGCCTGGAGAAGAGCAGACTGAGAGGGGATCTTATTAATGTTTATCAGTATCTAAAGGGTGGGTGTCAAGAGGGCCAGGCTCTTTTCAGTAGTGGCCAGTGACAGGACAAGGAGCAACGGGCACAAGCTGGAACACTGGAAGTTCCACCTGAAGATGAGGAAAAGCTTCTTTACTGTGAGGATGCCAGAGCCCTGGGACAGACTGACCAGAGGGCCTGTGGGGTCTCCTTCTCTGGAGATATTAAAAACCTGCCTGGCTGCCATCCTGTGCAACCTGCTCTGGATGTCCCTGCTTTGGCAGAGGGGTTGGATTAGATAATCTCCAGAGTTCTCTTCCAAGCCCTACCATTCTGTGATTCTGTGATCTCTTGTGCAGCTACATTCACACAGTACTGTTTGGGATGAGTACATGCTCATGGATCCCTCCACCTGTCTATCCATCTATTTCAACAAAAATTCTGATGTCTCTCTGTTTGCCCACCTATGCATCCATCTGTCCCAGAATGGACCTCGTCTGCCAATCTATCCAGCCAGCCATGGATCGATAGCCATGTGTTGTTCAACCCAATGCAGTCTCATCCATCCATCTATCCACACATCTGCTCTTGCTTTCACACCTTCTTCCCTCCATCTGCCCTTGCTATCCTTAAGTTCTCTTCAAGATTGTCCCATGGTGGGGGTTTGGTGCAGACCTCCTCAATGCAGAGCTACTCTTGGTGACATCCCAGTGCTCATGAACAGGGATTTCTGAATTCCTGGGCTTGCTCTGGCTGTACATGGTGCGTTGCGGCTTTCAGCCATGTGTGTAGGACTGGGGAAATGGCAAGGAATCTTCAACGAATAGGGGCTGCCTGGTGGTTTCTGTGGATCTCCCCTCTTACAGGAGACCCTTCTTGTCTGCAGGTCTCCAGAAATGTGGTGTCAGAGCTTTGGACTTCTAGGAAAATACTACGACCGTGACGGTGAGCTGGGGATCCAATAGCTGAGGGGCATTTAGGGGATGGGGGATGGTCCCAAAGGGGACAGAGAAAGGAGAAGGATAGGCAGCTGTAGGGGAAAATTTCTGGGTTGGATCTTCCCAGAGTGAAACAAGGATGGGAAGGTCAAGAGCTCTACAGGAAACAGGTGGGGAACAGAGGTATGGGGGGAAAGGGAAGCTGGGAGGGGGTCAGATGTTGTTCTGTAGCAGGCTGGCACTAGATCCTCAGTAATGTTGGTCACCTAGTCTTGGTTTACAGGATGGGAACAGACACATACTTGAGGCAGCCCCAACCACCTCCTTGTGTCATTCATGTGTGCTGATGGACAGATTTGTGTCTCTCTCAACAGCACCAGGATCCTTTTTGCTGGGGAAGCAGCTCCACGTACCCCTGTGCCCACTGCCTCTATGTAGAGCTGTGGTGGATGGATTATCCAGGATTATATGGTTGACGTAACCTCTGAACTCATCTACCAGAACAAGAGTCAGATCTCCACAGAAGTCCTTTTTGTCTCTCCCTTGGGTCCCGACATGGCCATCTACTCACTCCTTCCAGGCTCACAGTGAGGATGCCAAGGTCCAGGCCATGCTGCGGGATGAGGTACCACCATCTAGGGACAAATGACCGAACCACCACAGGGGCATGGGATGAGCAGCCCACGGCCTGCCTGGTGATCAGCTTTCTGTCCCTCTCCTTCCCTCTTAGGTCCAGCAGCTGCACAAGCCTATAGGTGGCTGGGAGAATCTGGAATACCTTCAGGAGCAGTCGGAGTATCCGGGCGAGGTGTTTGCCTGCTTCCTGGGCACCCTGTCCCCTGGCAGGGAGGTGGCCGTGACCTTGTGCTATGTCCAAGAGCTGTCACAGGCGCCAGATGGAGCAGCCCGTTTTGTGCTGCCACCCACACTACATCCCTGTGGAATATTACATCGTGAGTGACCCCACAAGGAACCTGCCCTCCCAGTCACACACGCCACAGAAGGGCCACAGACTCCCCATGTTCTTTATGAACAGACACAATGCAACTTCCCTTTGCATCCACAGGGGCCCCACATTTTTTCTCCATGCAGCCCCTGGACAGATCCACATGTTCTTCCCTGTGGCTCATGAGGAGACCCACACATGTTTCCCATAAACAGACTCATGGACCCCTCCATACACCTTATTGACAACCCCCAGTTCTCTCCATATGTCCAAAGATGGATGCCAAATCCTGCCCACGCTGCCACTCCTGCAGGGAGAGCCTTTGCCCTCCCCAGTGCCACGTTTTTCCTTGCATCCTGCAATTGTCTCACTGGCAAACTGACCTACAGCTTGCTGCTCACCACTAGCCTGCAGTCACCCCGTGGAGTGGCCGATGTCCAGGCCAACTTTTCCCTCACCCCTTTGATCTACACTGCCCAGGACCGCAGCACTGCACAGGTATGTCTTCCTGAGTGCCAGGGTCCTGGGGGGAGCTGGGGAGGAATGTCATCACTGAGAAAAAGGAGATGCACTGGGATCAGTGCCTGTGCTCCGAGCCAAATGCTGGGTCTGGTCCCCTCCTCCTCTGTATGACCAGACACCCCTTCTCCAGGTCTCACTGTCTGGCAGCCCCCCGCATGAGTATGATTTGGAGCTGCTGGTGTACTTTGGAGAACCTACTGCAGTTAGTGCCATGGTGGAGAAGGGAGACCCTGGGGCTGCTCCAGGTGAGTGCAGCTGGGGAGGGAACATGGAGGCACCTCTGGGTTGCAGGAAGCATGGAGACACACAGAGACATGGGGTTCTGAGCGGTGAGATATCACTGGAAACAAGGATGGGAATGGGAATGGGAGGCATTCAGATGGGATAGTTTGGGTCCTGAGGTTCCAGGGTGGGGTGCTGGGGACACTGTTGTGAGGTATCAGATACGACAGGATGTGTATGGGGAGCTCTGTGTTAGGGCTCACTGGGTAGCTCTGTTGGAGGCACTGGGCTGTGCAGTTGCTGGACAGTACAGTAGCTATTGAGGTACCAGTGTGGGGTGTCACAGGCTCTGGGATGGTGGAAACTGAAAGCACAATGATAATCAGAACCAGGAGGAGGAGAGGGGTCCCTGTCTGGCCTTCATCTCACCACATACCTCCTCCAGGCTCCCTGCTTGGTGATCCCATGGTGTTGGTGACACTGGCACCCAGCATCCCTCAGGCAGTGCCTGGGCAGCGCCAGTCTGGAGAGTTCATCTTCCTCCTGGACACCACTTTTCTTGAGCGTGTGCAGGTACCCCCACAGAGCAGGGACCAGGATGGGGTGGAGGAGCAGGCTGAGGGGCAGCGGACCAGGGCAGGCGGACAGAGGGACTGAGATGTGAGGGGGGACTGGTGAGACCTGAAATGGTCCTGAAATACCTCGGGTGCCCAGGGGACCTCAGGGCACTGGCTCAGGTGATCCAGGGGAGTCCAGAGGCTTTAGGAGTACCAGACTGTGGGCAAAGGCATCTGTACCACCCACCAGTGCCTCCCAAAACCTGCCTGCTGTGTCTTTCCACAGGACTCTTTGCTCTTCCTTCTCAAGAGTCTGCCCCTGGGCTGCTACTTCAACATCTACTGCTATGGAGAAACCTCTGTGGGCATCTACCCGTGAGCAAACATGGGACAGGCTGGGTGCTATGGGGCTGGATTAGGTGCTGGTGGGTAGGGCTGGATATTGTGGGGCATGACTGGGTGCTGTGGGGCTGGAATGGGTGCTAAGGAGCAGGGTTGTTGCAAGTATTCAGATGAAATAATCAAAACTAAACAGAAGAATTGGGTTTGATTATGAAATAAATTCTTAAAGCAAACGTCTGAGTTAGGATTGTTAGCTTGGAACTAGAGAAGCATAAAGGCCTTAATAAGAAGGGACTGTAAAGTTCTAGGCCTGCTCTAATCATTAACTCAATAGCAGAATCAGAAACAATGCACCTACGCCATAGTGTTGCAAGGATTGAAATTTATTACTCTAATGCCCATGGAACCTTGAAAAGTCTTTGTTTTACTGACCACTGGGATGTGAAGAAGAGCCTGTTGAGCCAAGTCCTTGGGACAAGGTCATTAGAGGGTCTTTTCTTTTGAGTCGGTGGTCCGTGGTGGTCGCAAAAGAAGCCCTTCGACTCATTTCAAGACTCAATGGGCATGTGCAGCAAGGCAGGGTTTTATGATAATGATTTCTAAGAATTGTATTGAATATGAATTATAATTCTGATGAAATATAATGATTATGTATGATTTTGTATAATATAAACTTTACTCCATGCGCTCACAGGTATGCACGATAGGTGGAGCGATCCCCCGTGCAACCAGTGCTGCAATAAAGAAGTGCTGCTTCTTAAGACTACATTGGTGTTAAGAAGTTTATTCCCGATTTCAGTGACAGGGTTAGATGGGGGGGGTACAAGTGTCCCAGGGAAGAGAAAGGACAGAGGGGTGTGGGTGGAAGGAGCCACCCAAGGGATGTGGTGGTCACAAGGGAACAAGAAGGATCCTGTTGCATGTAGGGGAATGGAGAAGTGAGTCTATACCTTTAGAGGTTTCTGTCCCTGAGTGGATATCTCTCCCTGGCATAGTTTCTCTAACGGAGGTCTCTCTCCTGGGCCACTCTCTCCATTAGAGGGTCTTACCCTCCACATTTTGGGGTTCCTGAGCAGGACCCCAACACTCATGTCCCATGTCTCCCAGCTCTTCATCTTCATGGCCGGGCTACCCCCTGACAAGGAAGCCATTGCAGCTGAGGTCTGCCGTCACCGCAACAGCCACCGGTAATGGGGACTCTGTGACCCCAGTCCTCTAGTCACCCTTTGGTTGTCCTGTCATTTCCATGCTTGATGAGGGCCCCTGTTCACCAGTGCCTGGCCCAATCCTTGTGCCCCTCTAGTGTCCCAAAGACCCTTCCCACCCTACACAGCCCTCCAGTGCCAAGCCCCCATGTAAGAGTCTTTGCTTACTGCCCCCCACAACCAAGGCACCCTTCACAGAGTGAGCAGGGAGACTGAGGCACAGGGCTGTACACCCTGATGTGTCCCCCAGATCTGCCCCAAGTCCCAGATCTCCTCTGCCAGCTCCCTGTCTAACCCTAGCTCCAACCCCAGTCCCTCACTCTCATCCCTACTCTTCCTCCTGTCCCCTTTTTCTGCACCTCAGCTTGTTCCCCTCTGAGCTGTAACTCCAGCCTGTGTTCTCCAGCTCTATCCTGGCATCCTTGCACCCACCTCTGGCTCTCATTTCTGACACCTTTCCCTGCTTCCCTCATAGGTGTTTCTCCTTCTGCTTCTCTGAGGACAGCGCTGCCCTGGCTACGGCCCTGGCTGTGGAGACAGGAGGTGAAGCTGCCTACGTCACCTCTGACAACAGTACATTTGTGGTAGGAACCCAGAAGCCCTGGCAGGTCCCCCCCTATTCCACAGACACACCAACTTCCAAGCACCTCAGCACCCAGACTGCTCACACACAGCAGTCAAGACCCAGTTCCCCAAGGAACCCAGGTGGCTCAGGCTTCCTCTGACTCTACCCCACCACCCCACCCCCCTGAGAACCCAGATGCTTCTGCCCCGCTATAACCCACAGATCTGACTGTGCCCAGGGGACCCAGCTGGTGCAGGCTACCCCACACATTCCACTGTCCCCCAGGAAACCCCAACACTGGGGCCATGGGATGAACCCTGGTGGGGCTGCGAACGGTGGTGTCCTGTCCTCTGTCTCCAGGTGTTGAAGTGCCTGAAGCAGGCCCTAAAGCCAGCAGCTGAGGGAGTGTCTCTGAGCTGGATGCTGCCCCGTGGCCTGGAGGTTGAGGTGCTGGGGGGCACTCCTGAGTTTATCTTTCAGGGCCAATACAGCCTCCTCTATGCCCAGATCCATGGACAGGCACAGGTGAGAGCTGGGACTACAGTCATCTCCAGTTACCTCCCAATAGCCTCCCAGTAACCACCAGTAATCTTTCAGTAATTTCCCAATATCTCCCAGCAACCATCTTGTGTCTCCAGTAAGCTCCAGTAGCTTCCCATGTGTTCCTAGGATACAGCGGTGACCAAGGGGGTCCTGACCTTGCAGTACAGCCTGGATGGCCAGGATGTCACTCACAAGATTGAATTCCCACTGTGCCCACAGGGAGATGGCCGGTGAGAGCCTGTCCTAAGGGAAACGCATGCATCCCCCTCGTGGACTCCAGCTGACAGAGGGCCCAGATAGCTTATGCATTCCCACCTTCCACACACAGTCCCAAACTGGCTGAGAACCCAGGTGTCCGAGCATGCTCTTCTTCCCCACTTTGACCTCACAGGGGTAGGACCCAGGAACCTGGGCATCACTTCCCTCCAGACAGATGAGGACCCAGCCATCCAGGTTGTCCCTCTGTCCATCCTCACCCCTGAAGGGAGAGAACCCAGCTGTCCAGGGTCTCTCTCTGTCCACCTTTCCCCAGCGTGGAGACAAGCCAGGTGGTCAGGCTCACCCCATTCTGTCCCCCAGGCTGGCTGGGCATCGTCTGGCTGCAAGATGCTTGCTGCAGAGGTTATTGCCAGAGGCTGTGAGTGGGCCAGGGGATGAACTAAGGAATCATGCAGTTGAGATCAGCCTCACTTCAGGGATCATCTGCCCCTTTACCAGCTATGTGGGGGTTCGCACATCACAGAGGGTCACCTGGTATCGAGGTAAGGAAAGACACTTGTGGGAAAGAGCTGATGGGGCAGCTCCATGGGATGTTCTCATTCCGCTGAAGCTGGAACCCCAGCTACAGGGCACCCCCAGCCTCATGGGGTAGGCCCCATCACCACCAGGTGCGTCTTTCCCATGTGCCTAATTTAGCCCCTTTCCCTGTTTGCCGTCAAAGGGCCCCTGGCACTGTTGCCACCCCGCCAGTCAGTCATCCCCTGCCAGATCGTTTTGCTTCATGGCTCCATAAAAGGCACTACCTGCTTTCCTACAACCATCTGGGTCCCACCTGGCTGGCTGATAGCAATGTGTCAGTCTTGGCTTGCCCTCCGTCAACTCACCCATGGCATTGCTGCCCTGGCCCAGCAAGGGGCTTCCTCAAAAGGTTTGGTATAATCTAATGTCTTATAGAGGGTTATGCTGCCATGTCTTGCTCATGGCATGGAAACGGATGAATTTTGCCTTTAACCCCTCCCTTAAACCTGCAACCCTTTCAGCAAATATGAGACCTAGCTCAGGGACACCCAGGGAGGGGACAGGGATGGTGCTGGATCATAAATACACAATTGGATAAGATATGTTGGGGAACTGTCTAGAGACATCTTCGGACTTGGCTGGGTAGGAATGCCAGGAGAAGAGGCAATGGTCAAAGGTAGGGGTGAGTTAGGGGTGTCCAGAGAGGGCTGTGGATGGAAGTGCTTTGGGGACATGCAGGAGGGACTTTAGACTGCAGATATCTGCCCAAAGAAGAGTGGAGATAATGTTCTGGGGCATTGCACAGAGAGGGGTCAGCTTCCTGTGATCACCCAACCCTCCTGTTCACATCTTCTCCCACAGCATGTAAACCAGCACCACCATCTATTTCTTCTCTCAAGCATGTGGATCCCCTTACATTTGTTATGTGCACTCCATTTTTTGGGCCTTTCTTGACCAAAGCCATTGCTGAGTGCCAGAAGCTGATGACACTGCAGAATGTAGATGGCTCCTGGGCCCTCAGCTCAGAACTGGCCTCTGTGCTGGAAGTCGATGAGGCCGAAATCAAGGAAAAGATGCCTGGTGAGGTAAGGGGAGAATCTTTTATGGTGGCAGAGTGTCATCCTGGGGCAGTGGGAACCCCTTGGGTGGTGACAAAACTGGCATCACACAGGCGGCCAGAAAGGAATGAAGGGATCAGAAACCAGAAGCCACAAAGGAAGGGGGGAAGCAGTGAGGGGGCAGGAGGGATGCTCAGCACTGCATAGCAGTGCTATTCTGAGTCATTGTTTTCCTACAGGTCATGGAGCCAAACATCTGGGCCACAGTGCTCGCTGTGACCTGGCTGCACAGACCAAACAAGTGTTACCGAGATGTCTGTGAGCTGCTGGAGGCCAAGGCTGTGACCTGGCTGTGCAGCCAAGCTGGTGAGTTGTGTGCTGAAGCCCCCAGCACAGCCTCCTCCCTTCTCTCCTCAGTGGGACCTGCCTCACCTCTTCACAGGACCACAATTTCCTGGGGGCAGGTGAAGGAGTCCTGTGCCCCTTTCTCCCTTCCATCTGTGCACTCCCCCTCCTGACTGACTCCCCTAGTGCCCCTGTCTCTCCCCAGTTGCAGTGTCCCAGCTGGACAAGTGCCTGGAGGCGGCCAACACTCTCCTTGGGAGCAGCGTGGAGCCAAGTGTCTTCAGGCTCTGAGTTCAACACATAACTTGTGCTACAGACCAGCAGCACCTGCAGAGCTAAAAAGGGCCAGAAAGTATAGCCTAGATTCACCCACCATGCTGGGATACCACTGTTGCTACCAGCTGGGGTTTTATGTTACAGACAAATTCTCACTGCTTATGTCTTCAGCTACTTGAGCTGTACCTGTATCATGCTGAACTCCTCAAGAGAAAACCTCTAGTTCAGAGCCTCCAACGTGTTTGGTGTTGGTGGAGGTGGGAGTGGGAAGGAAGCATCACATTCCCCAGTGGTTGCCCTTCCCAAATCCAGCTTTGGCAAAATGGGCTACTGGCCTCCACAAAGATAGCACTTAGGGACATGGTTTAGTGAAAGATGGTACTTAGGGACATGGTTTAGTGGTGGACTTTGTAGTGTTAGGTTAATGGTTGGACTCAATGACCTTAAGGGTCTTTTCCAACCTAAATGATTCTCTGATTCTATGGTTTCTGTCTTGACAAGAGAGTGCTGTGCACACTAGAACAGATGAGTGTTCAGAGGTGTCCACAGCAGGCACAATAGCAGTGGCTTGCAATGAGTGACTCCTGCTGCACCCCACTTGCTGACCTCTTTGCATTACTCCAAAATTCCAGGCTGTGTCAGGAACTCCTCTATCTGCATTGCCATGTAAACAAACCATTTTGAAAGTAAAACTTTAATCTGCATCAGACCCAGCCCATCATAATGTCCAAGAGAACTCATGTGGTGTGAGATTGATTTGAAAACTAACAGCAGGTTGGAGGTGGAACTGCAGGAACTTCTGATTAGCAAACCAGTCATGCAATGTACTCCCTCCTGCCCCCGGGCACTGAATTCATGGGTCTCACTCCATGTTGGCAAAATCTCTGAGTCATTTTCCAATAAAGAGTGAATCTTCTATAAGCCAAAAGGTGTGACATAGCCTTTATTTCAGTTGGGCCTACGATCCTTCCTTCCAGGGGCCACCTATGAGTCACCAGGAGGGGCATGAAGGGATGTGACTTCCCAGAGAGCTGTGTATTGCAATATACTAAATCAGGTGTCACTGTTACTCCTGGAAGAGGACAGACCTGTTCTAGGTTAGCAATACAAGAGCTGAGGACTTGCCAGGCTTTTTCTAGACTACTTCTGGCTTGATTTTTTCTCAGCTTGATCTTAGTGGTAGCAACTGTAGCAACACTTTGCCCAGCAGACAGATGACTGATGTCTAACTTCTCTGAGCTGTAACAGAAAAGTTGTCAGGTGATTAATGACCAACTTGGTTTTAGCTTCAACTTTCTAACTCCATTGGACCAGCAGACAGATGACTGATGTCTAACTTCTCCGAGCTGTAATAGAAAAGTTGTCAGGTGATTAATAACCAACCTGGTTTTAGCTTCGACTTTCTAACTCCATTGGGGCATGTGGCCCTGAAAACAAATGCTGATCTCCCTTTAAGATTCACCTCTGCTGTCTGGGGGAGACACATCACAAATGTCTGCATGCACTGGCAACCCCCCTCCTGCTCTGGAGGGCAGTGGGGACACAGAGGAGTCACCTTCCTCAGAGATGCAAATGGAATGAAGCTGAGAGGAATGTGCTCTCCCACACTTCTTGCTTGGGGTGCAGAAGGAGAAAAGAAGGGGATTGGGGACCTCACGTTTTGGAGAGCTGGATCGTGACTGTGAGGAAATACTGGTAGCTCAGCCTACTTCAGCTGCCAACGCATGTATTGTTGATCCACCGAGAGGTTTTAACTTCTTCCCTTCAAGAGGCTCACAAGGGTGACTCATCTGATCACACTTTATTGGTTTTTATGGCCTGGAGAGAATACCAGGCTCTGCTTCTCTCTCCTTGTTGACCATTTGCTGAGTCTGAAAAGACAACCTCAGTCAGTCATGGCTGCCTAATTCTGAAGGAGTCAATCGTTATAGTCTTCTGCAGGATGTGAGCTGCATCCCCTCTCTGGAGCTTCAACGGGCATCAGTTTGGAAAAGCCTGTGC